GATATTGATTGTCAAATCACTCCTAGAATCATTTATATCCTAACACAAGTGAGGCAAAAATCAGTCATGTAGGCTAGTTTTAGTAGTAGGTTAATTTTCGGTTTTAGTGAATATTTATTTTTATTTTTTTTTTATTTATTTATTTATTTCAGGCAACTAGGACCCATAGATACATACCTTACAGACTAACATACATATAATATAACAATAATATAATAAAACAATAACAGAAATATTAAATAAATACCCTACGGACTAATCATAAATACAATATAACATGATAATATACATATAACACTATTTATTTACACGTATGTACTTCGACGTGTGACGCAACGTGGGTGTCCGGTAGCCGTCCTCGGAAACGCCGGTATATGACACCCTTCGGCCAAAAGTCTTCTCTCATGAAGGTCGACAGGTGTTGAGTTGGTACTCGCACCACAAATGAATTAAAATTCACATTGTGGCGCGACTCCAACCGCTCGACCCTCAGGTTTGCATTGGCCTTCACTCGCATGTACTCCACAATATCCGCAGACTTGGTGGAGTAATGAAGACGCGACACGTATAACAACGTCGTCGGTACCGCTGGACGCAATAAATGATTCGGGCCATTCAGGGCGGGGCGGGGTGCGGGGAAACGCGCGCGGCAACAGCGCCAGAGGTCGGTGACACATGCATGTGAGCCGACTCAAAACTGCTGAAAGAAGCATTTTGCGCCCCGCGACAAGTGTTCACGTTGCAGGCCTCAGGTGACCTACTTACCGAAGCCACACTACTAAGTAATACAACTTGGGCACGCAACTCACTGATGGTGTTGTCTGAGGCCTCCAACTTACACTGAACTTCAGCAAGGCTTGCTTTTAGGGACGTGATGTCCTTCAGCAGCCTGGTGACGTCGACGTGGTCGAACGTGACAGGGGGCAGCTTATGCAGCTCCTTCGCCACGAATGCAGACACGTCGTCTGGGTCGGTCTCCTTGAACAACGAAATGATGTCCTGGAGACTCTTCACTCCTCCATCTCTCCGACGAGACGGCATCTGTTCGGCTTTGCCAATAGTCCGGAAAAGCAGCGCCTTGCCACTGCAAATCTCTTCTTCTTTGAAATTTGACTTGCAGATCTGCACGATGCTGACTTCGTCCATGGTATCTATGGCGTGTTGTATAAACGCCAACAGTTCGTTGGCTATGAGTTGCTGAGAACCCATAGTCAATTACGTGCAGCGGCTATTGCCGAGCGTGTCGCGAATTATTATAATTCTTATTGTGCAGTGGAGCACGTCCGAATCCGAGCGGATTTTTTATATAAAAATACAAGTTGAAACGCGTTACTTCCTTGTGGAATGTGATGTTAGTATCTATTTTATGTTTGTCTGACGTATTTTTACACTCATTTACCACACATTTCGTCATTTTTAGCTAAAATTCTGGAGCTGTTCGCGGTGCAAGTTGACCTTGAGCACTGAAGGCCCGCCCGCTCGTGTAGGCCCTTTGGGAGCGCTTCACTTTGCCTCACTTAGCGTGTGCGGACTAGGTTTCTATGCGTTATTATGTTACTATTCTAAGCTTGGACCGTTCTTAGTTGGATTTAAATCTTAAGTGGCAAGCAACCTTAGACTATGGAAATTAATAACCTATAATATAAACAAAATATCAATATTATTTTTTATATCATATTCATAGATACTCTCAAAAAACTGTTTCCTGTGGAAATATTCTTTATCCCATTGGCAATGTTTCAGGGATGAACAACCTTTGGCTGTCCTTTAGTGTTTATTCGATTTTTTATTTTTATTTATGTTATGTATAAACACATACTTATAAGCAGAAGTGTGTGAATAAGTTATTGGTATAATATTAATACTTTATTAAATTATGACTTTTTTAATTAAGAATAATAAAATTAAAATAATAAATTGGAGCATTACCTACTAAATAGTGTTCATTACAATGAACTAAAAAATGATAAGTCAGTGTTAGTTCAATAGGGATGATCAGGGCGTCGGGTTCTATCACCACGATTTTCTTCATTCTAGCGGCTGTCATTATCGAATGTTTTCCATAATGTATTTTATGTCGTGTTGTCGAGTTTTTGTTTTTAAGCATTGAGTTTTCGTTCTGTTTTTTTTTGTTAAGATTTGATTTTACTCTCTTGTTACGTTTGTGTTTGCTTGCGTTCGTGTCAACATAACTACAAAGGAGGCAGAAAAAAGACCACGCCTTGCAATGTCCGTGACCTTACGTAACCGAGGTTATGGCAATGAATGTCTTCAACATGTCTACAAGCATACATTTCAAACCTGGTTACAAAAAGAATATTGGTCTTTGTGCTGGGGATATCTGAAAGAACCGTTCGAATAATACTTTGCCTGAGTAAAAAAAGTCAATATTTGACATGTTAGCTACTGATATCGAAAACAAAACATAGTTTCTGTTCCTAATATAAAGAATATTCTAAGATGTTTCTTTTGCGTAATTTTCTACGGGTCGTGACCCTTCTCATTTCCTCGTAATTTTTAATTGAAATATTTTATGACACAAAATTATTCTAAAAAGTTAAATTCTTCAACCTAAAAGGGTATTTTTCCATTATAATTATTAGTCAGAATAGAGTGGAACCCTTAGAATAATAACGCATAGAATGATAGTTTCATATCAAACGAACTGTTACAAGTGAGGCAAAAAGCAAATTCATGTAGGCTAGTTTTAGTAGTAGGTTAATTTTCGGTTTTCGTGAATATTTATATAAAAATACAAGTTGAAACGCGTTACTTCCTTGTGGAATGTGATGTTAGTATCTATTTTATGTTTGTCTGACGTATTTTTACACACATTTACCGCACATTTCGTCATTTTTAGCTAAAATTCTTGATCTGTTCGTGGTGCAAGTTGACCTTGAGCACTGAAGGCCCGCCCGCTCGTGTAGGCCCTTTGGGCGCGCTTCAATTTGCCTCACTTAGCGTGTGCGGACTAGGTTTCTATGCGTTATTATTCTAAGGTGGAACCGTATTCTGTAATGGCTATCGTTATTATTCGACAAATGACGTTGCCTTTTATTGTTAAAATACAAAATTGTTATTGAATTATTATTACTTTTAAAAATAACCTTATGAAATAATATTTTAAATGTAATTTAGATGGTATTTTATAAGTAATATGTTTGAAAAACAAATAAAACACATATATTTTCAAAATTTAAGCAACACATGATATCGTGGAATATCAAAACGCAAGACATTAAATTGCGTCAGCATGCTTTTTTTGCATTAGGTAGTTATCAAATGCGTTTTTTTGTTTTAATTTTCACGATTTTCAAAAATTATTTTCTCGAAAACCTTTGGCGTCAAAGTAAAACTGAAAATTTGTGGAGGAGTTCCTTTTCACTAGGTCTATCTCCAAAATTAATTTGAACACCCAAATCGACGTATTGTAAAGTTGAGCCGGCATTCCCAATAATTTAAAACACATTTTTAATTAAATAAGTAACTTAATTATTTTTATTGTGCCACTTAATCTTAATTACCTTGTAATAATAAATTCATAAAATTGTATATAACACTGTTTTTTTTAATAATTAACCAGCACCCATTCATTGTATTACAAAGGCTGCTACAGCTGAATCACTAATCATTTTAGTTTTTTTAGGAGTTCAGCAGCCTCTGTATTAGCCATATGGTCATCATTAGATTTTGCGGGATAGCTGGCAGCTAACCTGAGGTAATATTTGGCTTGATCTTCCTTTTTTAATTTCAAGTAACAGTTACCAAGTCTCAATAAATTGAGACTGTAAAATCTTGGTTGCACTGCCTCAGCTCTTAAAAAGTATTCTAAAGCGTCTTCATAACTTGAATAAGGAGGAGATGCAAAGAAAGCTTCAGCTACTTTTCTTTGATACCAGGACAATTCGGTAACTTGGTAGCACCATTCACCAAGCATGAAAAGGGTTGTTGCATCATTTGGATTGAGGGTAACTGCCAACTGGAACATCATTAAAAAATTAAGATATCAAATGAAATCCCCTTCGGTACAATTGATCCACTTTCACTATTCGTCTACTTTCCTGATCGGTCCACTTGTTTTTCCCATTTCGTCAACTTTCCTGCTTGATCTACTTTCCCGATCGATCTGCTTTCCCGATAGGTCTACTTTAATGATGCGCCTACTCAGATCTTAGTACAGAGTACTAAAAAAACCGACCTCAAAAGTTCGTGGAATTACATCTATTTGCCAAATTTTAAACACACCCTAGTTTAGTTAGTAGTTTTGAGGAATATTTTCGTTAAATTTAATGTGCCAACTACTGATGTACCCTCTTTCCAACAAAAAAAGTATCATCAAAATTGGTTCCCAAATGCCGTTGAGTTATCGCGTAGCATACATAAAAAAATACAACTGAACTTCCTCCTTTTTTGAAGTCGATTAAAAAACCAGTTTACTTGTTTTTGTTTTTACATCACTATCAAAAATATAAAAAATGTACTCCATGACAATCTGCAATTACAAACTGCCTTTGAAAATTTGTAAAACGAATTTTTCTTGTAAAATTTTATTAACTTACATAAAATTGTATTAACTTGTAAGGTGGACTATTTGGACAAGTGAACCGATCGGGAAAGTAGACGAAAAGGGAAATTGACGAAACTGGTAAAACGAGTGGACCGATCGGGAAAGTAGACGAATAGTGAAAGTGGGCCGATCGGGAAAGTGGACCATTTAGACAAGTGGACCGATTGGAAACGTAGACAAATAGTGAAAGTGGACCGATCGGGAAAGCAGACCGATTGTACCGAACGGATCAAAATCAAATCAGTTAAAGCCAGCGCAAAATACGAACTGCAAGGCAGAGGACTTTATTCAATGTATATTTTATTCTATTACAGAACGTTGCAATTTACTTTTTAATGAATGAATGAATGACACCATAAGAATGATGTAGTAGATTATGAAGTATTACCATGGGCGGAGGTTCACCGCTGGTTTGTCCACAAGCTGCAGAAGCAAAGTGGACATACCTTCGTGGTGGTGAGCCTCCCCGAGGAACAGGTCCCGGCTGTCCTGGGGCATGGCCGGCGCTTCACTTTCCAGTTAGGCACGGTCTACCTCAGGTTCAGATCCAAAAGGGGCCTGTACACGGATACGCCGCCTGAGAAGGCGGACATCAATAAACCACCGATGGTTGTCTCCCCGGAGCCCTCTACCTCCTCTGGCATCACCGGAGAAGGAAAGGAGCCCTCCCTGACCCCCGTCTCTGCGGACAGGTGCGTGTCGGGGATGGGAGACATCCGACTGAGCGAGAACGAAGACGAGGAGCTGCTGTCCACTGATGGCGGTTACCCCCTCGCTCAGTAAATCACAAATCATCCAATGCAACCTCCACCATAGCCAGGCCGCAACGGTTCAACTCCGGAAACGGTTCAACTCCGGAAACGGTTCAACTCCGGAAACGGTTCAACTCAGGAACCGTGGATCAGCGCCCGCGGCCAAATAAATGGACTCTCACAAATGAGAGGTAAGCTGAAATCAACTACCATCTCAGAAAAACCACGAACTTGCATATATTACTCTAATAATTTACATGTACAGCCACTAACAGAATTCTGTTTCAGAGACATGTGTGCCGTCAAGCTTTTAGCTGACACGGCCACGGGCCTGCCTGAAGTGGTGCTCGCCTCTGTCTATATGGCGGAGATTGATGTACCACCACCGCAGGAAATGGAACGGCTAATCAAATACTGCGAGCAGAGCGGCCAGCACATCGTCGTGGCCACTGACTCCAATGCCCACCATCCGTAGTGGGGCATGGAACTTGCTAATGACAGAGATAAGAACCTAACAGAATACTTATTCACAACTAACCTTCAAATCCTTAATAAAGGTACAGTACCAACCTTCGTAAATAAAAGATGCAGGACGATTATAGACCTAATCCTAGCGTCCGAAGGAGCTGTAAATCTTGTCCAAGACTGGCACGTGTCCGAAGAAGCATCCTTCTCGGACCACAGATGGATAAGATTCAACTTAGAAACAACAATCAAAGAACAACAACCGAAACGGAATACCCGAAAAACCGATCGTAAAATATACATTGACAAACTACACCACCACCGGGCAGACTGCACAGATAGAAACACAGGTTACAGAACTGACATCAAACATATTGAGCAGCTATAACTCCGCATGCCCACCGAGTGAATCTGCCCAGCGGCAAGGCCAACACTGGTGGGGGTCTGAGCTTGAGAGGCTACGAAGAAGGGTAAGGAGATGCTTCAATAGAGCAATGAACACATACGCGGATGAGGACTGGGAAAACTACAAGACGGTCAAATCCAAGCTAAAAAAGCGCATACGATTCAGGAGCACCGCGTCATGGCGAAGCTACTGCGGGAACATCACGTCTTGTGCACAAGCGAACAGAATAAGGAAAATCCTAGGCAACTCAAATTCAACTGAGCTAGGTTCACTACGCAAAATAGACAACACATACACAACTTCCCCTGCGGACACGGAGAGAACCCTACTGGAAGCACATTTCCCGGGATGAAGGTTCGTCCAAGACGAAAGGTGCGAAGAAATGAACTACAACACATCGATCCATAACTGGCGATACGCTGAACAAGTAGTAACATACGAAAAGACAAAATGGGCAGTAAACACCTTTGAACCGTACAAAGCTCCGGGCCAAGATGGAGTATTCCCCGCACTCATACAATGGGGCGGGGACACACTGGTCCAGCACCTGGTCAACATCTTTCAGGCCTGTCTAGCATTCAGCTATGTGCCCTACAGCTGGCGAGAGGTAAAAGTCATATTTATACCGAAACCAGGTAAAAACGACTACAATGGCGCGAAGTCCTTCAGACCAATCAGCCTCACATCGTTCTTTTTGAAAACATTAAAAAGGTTATGAGGGCAGAGAACTGAGGGATGGAGCGCTTAAGAACATACCACTACACGGAAACCAACATGCATACAGTCAAGGCAAATCCACTGAATCGGCCCTACATGCCGTCGTGGGCAAGATAGAAGTGGCCCTCAAAGACAAAGCAATCTGCCTAGGCACCTTTATCGACATTGAAGGAGCCTTCGATGAAACCAACTTCTCTAGCATACAATCAGCACTGAGGAGGCACGAAGTGGATGAAGTGCTCATCAGCTGGATTAGCAACATGCTAAAATTAAGAACAATAAAAACAACAGCAAATAAGACCCCATGGTCCATAGTAGCGAAGGGATCAAGGAGGGGTACTGTCGCCTCTGCTGTGGAACATGGTCGTAAATGACGTCATCATTAAACTGAACAAAGAACATTTCTATACAGTAGTGCTGATGACATAGCTATACTGGTAACAGGAAATTATGCCAATGTACTCTGCGACATTACACAAGCTGCACTCCGGATTGTGGAAAGATGGTGCAGGGCATATGAACTATCGGTAACCCCAACAAAGACGGAACTAGTAATGTTTACAAACAAAAGACTACTGGATAACTACCTACTACCCAAACTCTTCAGTACAGAACTACAGATATCAACCGAAGTCAAGTACTTGGGAGTAATACTGGACAACAAGTTGAAATGGAACAAGCATCTGGACAACAAAATTAAAAATGCCACTATCACCTTCTGGCAGTGCCATAGAATGGTAGGTAAACAATGGGGACTCTCACCCAAAATAACACTATGGCTCTACACAGCGGTGATAAGACCCATGATCAGTTACGGCGCGATAGTATGGTGGCCACGAACTAAACTGACGACCGCAACCGACAAGCGGGAAAAATTCCAAAGACTCGCTTGCATGGCAACGACCGGCTGCATGAGGACAACTCCGACTGCGGCCCCTCCTAATGTTCATCAGACAGGAAGCGGCGTCAACAGCAGTGCGTCTAAACAGAGCCGGCCTTTGGAAGCACATGAGGAACACACACATACAGAAATCCTTTATAAGATAGTCAATGAGGAACCGCTACTGGTTGTGGATAGGATCCCAAAACAATACATCCTCGACAAAAAATACATGATACAATTGTTTGAAGATCCAAATGAAGGACTGAACCCCAGAGAGGGCCGCGTCTTCACTGATGGATCTAAAACAAATTCAGGAACAGGTACTGGGGTATTCTCAGAAGACCTTAATATCAGGATATCAACACCGCTTGGTGACCACAACACAGTACTCCAGGCTGAATGCATGGGCATCAAGTTGGCGGCAGAAGAAATCATAGCGAGAAGAGTAAAGAACCACTCCATTCGAATACTCTCTGACAGTATGTCAGTACTTCAAGCACTGAACAGCTATGACATAAACTCAGGCCTCATTTATGAAAGCACTCATGGAGGTATGTATACAAAACCACTTAACTCTACAGTGGATTAAAGGACACAGCGGCTCACGTGGCAATGACGCAGCAGATGAGCTAGCCAGAAAAGGGTCAGAGATGGACGCAGTAGGACCAGAACCCATAGTGTCCCTCCCCTACCAATGGTCCAGAACAACTATACACAAAGATATAAAAACTACACATAATAATACATGGACCACCCTTACGGTTTGTAGACAGGCGAGGGAAGTACTCCAATGCTCAATGCCAGTCTATCATGAATATTAATTAAACCCAACAGGCAAGAGCTTCGCACTTCGCACGGCTGCGCACATTCTACTACAGTGCTCTGGAGTGGCCAACTACAGGGCAAAGTACCTTGGAGTGCCAAGGTCGCTCCTCGAAGTCTTCAGCAAACCGAGGAGGCTGCTGAGATTTCTGGAGGAGCTTGGGTGGCACGAGTAGGACCCTGCACCCACTACACGCAAAATAGGCGCAGCCACCAGCCCGTTACACCAAGTACCAAGTAAGAAGTATTACCATTTACCATTAGTGTTTAACTCACATCCATATGTTTCTTAACATTTTCCAACTGTCTTATTCTTTCCTTCATTCCTTCCTTTGAACTTTTTGAGTCCAGAAGCAAGGCATACCACTTTTGAACAGCGTAATGGTCCCAGTTATTTTGTAAAAGTGAAGCTATAATACTGTAGGCTTCAAGTATAAAGTTGTTTTGTGTAGCTTTGTCATATTTTGGTTCTTTAGCCATGTTGTATAACACTCGACAAATGCGCCATTCTACTTCAACATCAGATTCCTGAAATAGAATGATAATAAATTTTCAATTAATTAATAATATGTCCTTATTATTAGAGATCTGAAGAATATATGTAGCTAAACTTCAATCCTGTAATACACATAAGTGTAGATAATACCTCCGTCTGAAATTGTGGAATTAATGTAGGTAATGTACATTTGGTTTATAATTTATGTGTAGACAATTATTTGTCAATTAATTTATGACTATGTGTATTTAGAAGAAAAAAATTATAATTGAAGTAAAATAATAACTATTTTATTCTTCTTTTTCGTTTTACTTTTAAATTTTCTTTACGCATTATTCAGTCTAAGTACAGGGTCAAGAGCATGTCAAGCTTTACACTTATGACTTAAATGCAACTCCATACCGCTTTTGATAAGAACGGTCCAAAGTACAAAGTGTCAAGCTTGGTGTGCTCTTGACTGTACATTGCTTGAAATTAAGGTAAATGTACATATTGTCTATTCCGATCTTAGCTCATTACTGACACTTATTTTTTGTTAATTTTAATTAATTTATCCTGACAGTAAATCAGCTCACATTAGCTTCTTGTACATGTAAAAGCAGTTTATAACATTCTTCATAATGTCCATCATCAAATAAGTTGTCTGCTGTTTGTATAGATGTATTCTTTTCTTCAGAGACAGCTACAGTCGGGCTGCTTTTTTTTAAAGGCCAAAGAAATGCAAGTCCAGTACCAAAATAGATATTTGAATTAATAAGTCGCACAGTTTGAAACTGAAATTGAGAAAAGTAAAAAATTTAAATAAATGAATTGTTTGTAAATATCTCATATAAGCAATTATATCAAAGTTCATGTTATTTTTAATGGCTTAAGTTTTGTAAGAGTTCTTGGTTAATTTTTACTTACTCTTGGGATGTTTGTCACGTAAGTCTTCCGACTGTAATTTGTCACTAGTCTAAAAACTCTGAAATATCTGTTAACATTCATACTGTTTTCTTGGTGCACAACGGTATCTATGCACTAGTGGTAAGGTAATACAAACAAAAACGTTACAAAATACACTCGACTACAAACTCAGGATTCAAGTTTGTATACAAAGAATTTATTAAACTCTCATTGATGGAAAGGACAAGCACAGGAACAAAGGTATCATACTTAGTAACTTTCTCTTTAGTTTGTTTGAGTACATAAAAATTAGCTAATAGTCAGTGTCCGTTTAGAAGAACTATACTATATCTCTCATTGATGGAAATTTGGAAATGTTTGGTGGTATCTTGTATCACTTCACTTTTTATTTCTTCTCGTCCAAAAAAAGTCTAGCTAAGGTTCAATGACGATGCGCTGAGGTTTTATATGTTTTATGGTTTTTATTACTACATATTTCTAATTTGTGGTTTTTGTTATAGTGTACCTAACCTAATCCGTCACCGTCAAGTAGGAACTAGTGGGAACTAGTCTTTTCTTTTATTTTTTTCCATCCTCTAAGGAACTAGTAAAAGGCAAAGAGGATCTAATCACTACGTGTAGAGGGTAAACAAACATCTAGAGCAGCCTTTCCCAAAGTGGGCGATAACGAGTAAGAGACCCAGAAAAAAAAAATGGGGGCGTTGTGTAGAGGCTTAGGGAAAGATTTGTAATTTCATCTAGGAAAACTTTAGACACCGACTGAGCTCTCGACTCTCGACTGCAACTTGTGAACATCAACTAATTTTAATTAAGAGATTGCTCAAAGTAACTCGGTTCGACATTTCTCTCCGTGTAGTTTATATATCTGTCCTGTTTTATTTATAAAATAAAAATCATGTCAATCCGTTTCGAAATGAAAATAGATTATAGAGAATTTCGCATTTTAATAGTTATTAGTATTCCTAGATAGGTAATTTTCGTAGATAATAGACCGCAGTGGGCGTCGTACGGCTGAATGATGATGAATAGACCGCGGGCAATCACGTCTTAACAAGTTTTTGTTAAATAACCTGATTTGTGCATTCCTGTATCAATCGGTTGGTTCATAGAATACTTGTTCTTACTTGTTGAGTACGATTGAGCGTCGAATGAGATAGACGAGTTTATGCATGTTTGTCTTATTCCTATCGGTGCGTGCTGCTTATGCAATCCTATATAAACAACGTAATATTTATTTTATTTTCATTTGCGGTTTCGCGCATAATAGATAAGCAGTACTTACGTATTTCTCAAAACAAAACAATGTCGTAAGTAAAAAGAAGAGATGGCAATACTGTGCGGAATATATTAAATTCGGATTCATTGAAAATCCCCAAACCCATCGTAGCCTTTGTGCCTTCTATGTCTAAAAACATTTTCGAATGAAGCAATGAAGCCTTCAAGACTGCAAGATCATTTGAATAAAATGCATCCAGATAAGAAAGACAAGAATGTAGCATATTTTCAAGACCCAGAGAAGAAGCATAATACTCAGCCAAGTGTAGCAAAACTCTTTTCGCCGGCTGCTAAGCAAGATGACGACCGACGTCGAACTTCGTACAATATCTCTTTGTTAATTGCTCAAAAAGGCAAACCACACAACATCGGAGAAGAGATAATTTTGCCAGCAATAAAGGAAGTAGTAACTACTGTGCTTCATAAACCGGCCGCAGATATTATCCGAAAAATACCTTTGAGTAATAATTCTGTGCAAAGACGACTGATGAAATGGCTGAAAACATTGAAGAATCATTGTGCAATCATCTGAGGGCTAGTCAATTCTCAATTCAGCTCGATGAGTCCACTTTACCAACTAATGAAGCATTGTTGCTGTCTTATATGAGGTTTATTAAAGATGAGAAAATATGCGAAAAACTATTGTTTGCTAGAAATTTAGAGACCGATACAAAAGGCGAAGCCATATTCAATACATTGGAAAAGTTTTGTGATGAGAAAGAGATTCCCTTGAAAAATATTATAACAGTTGCTTCTGATGGCGCTCCGGCTATGACAGGGTGCCATAAAGACTTCATAGCGTACTTAAAAAATAAAATTCCAGATGTCCTTGCTGTACATTGCGTTATTCATATACAACATTTGGTTGCTAGAAATTTAAGTGAACGACTATTTCAATCACTGCAATATGTCATCAAAGCAGTCACTAAAATCCGTAACAGCTCTTTGAATGATAGATTATTTCATCAGCTTTGTGTTACTAATGACGAAGATTTCAACCGTTTGTTGTTTCATACTGAAGTTCGTTGGCTATCAAGAGGCAATTGACTGACGCGATTTTACACCCTGTTTGACTCTGTGGTAGAGTTCGTGGAAACTAAAGATACAGAATTCCGCAACAAGCTCTTTACATCAAAGAATGATATAGCTTACATGACAGACCTGTATAAATTGTTCAACGACATGAATCTCCAACAGCAAGGCGATGAACTAAATTTAATTAAAACAAAAAATGTCGTTGTTGCTTTCGCAGCCAAACTGCTTCTCACGAAAAGAATGTGGGCAGACGTGAGTTTCACAATTTTCCGAATTTATCAGTATCCTGCAGTAATGACGACTTGTTTGCGGACTGCCAACATTTGGAAAACCTCCACATTGACTTCACCGAACGATACCAGGACATTTTGAACTTGGAAATACCAGACTGGGTGTTGGATCCGTTTTCAAATGTCAACACAGCAATATCACCTCAGCTGAAAGAAGAAACTTACAGAATTGACAACGAACAAGGAAATAAAAATCAAGTTCAAAAATGGCTACCAAGAATTTTGGCTACAAAAACAGATCCCGCAATTGTACCCTGGATTGTGGTCAATCGTTCTACGATTCTTGATAGCATTCCCGTCGTTATATTTGTGTGAACGTGGTTTTAGTGCTATGACTACGCTGCTTACTAAAAAGAGAAATCGTTTGCATGTTACCGAACGTGGTAACTTGCGGCTGTTCTTAAGTAAATTGGAACCTGATATCAACAAACTTATTAAACAGCATTCTTCTTTCACATTAGTTTTTATATTAGAATCGATTATATTTTTTTATTTTGAATAAAAGATACTCTGTCTGAATACTATAAAGTTGCGTTTTAATAATCATTCTCATTGGCAGGTGTAGCCCGTAATAGTTAACTTGAGATCTGAGCGCCGTTGTGTACTACCTAATGCGCTCATGTTGAGACATGAGCAGTTAACTCTTGCGGGTTATAGTAAGTCTCATTTAGAATGAATGTTTAATCTCCGCTAATATAGCTCACAATAATTAATTTAATTTGAAGTTATAGTGGTTTTTAAGTAGGTGAAAAAATGGGGGCGCTAAATAATAATTTATTCTCAAAGTGGGCAGTAGACAAAGTAAGTTTGGGAACCCCTGTATTGATCAGTTTTAAAAAAGAATTCCTAATGGCTTTATTTTTTTAGATCATTTGTTCTACTCAGTTTTGTACGTCAATGTACTCAGTTGACGATTTAATGAAAAATAAAGACTAATTAATCGATGGGTACTTTTCTTTACAATTATTTATTTATCTAATCTAATTAAATTATGAATGACATCCACTTTTTCACAATTAATTTAATTTGAGCTAAGAATTTGGTAATGCATTGTTTATTATTATTTTGCATGCCTTTGTTTAAGGCTGAATAGGATTACGTTCTAATTAAATTTTATCATCAACATTATAATGTACCCTACCCTATCCAAAGCACAGATTTATATATTTCATAAACTGGATCGCGCACTTCGATATATCAATATTAGAAATTTACACCTTATTGAGTTATGTTAAGGTTTATTTAAGTAAAAGTAAAAAACCGAGACATGTGAGATAGCTCGAAGTAGTGGTCCTGTCCTTGTTTAACAAGTTGCCAACGCCAAATAAGATCACTGCTATGTAGTGTCTAGTCTATTAACTTTTTTAAATTTTGGTTAAATAAAATTAGCTTAAGGGTAATATGCTTTTACTGTAATAATACAATATATATATTAACAATGAAACCTTCTATTATGAAAAGGCATATCAAAAAGTATATCAATTTGTATTATGAAATAATATTAGTAGTTTTGGTCGTCCATAAGCGGCCACATTTCCTGTAAAAATTAAAAAGTTAAAAACAATATGGCTAGCTATACATGAATGGAACTTATCATCCTAATAATGCCGCGTTCTCACATTCGTGCGATAGGCGATGCGAATAGCGATGCGATGCACGATACGCATATGTAAACGGTCCATGGAATTAATAAGTACTTCGTACAACTGGAAAGCTCACTGCAATTATTTTGACATATCAAAATGAACTTTAAATGAATAGCAATAAAATACTTTTTAAATAACCAATATCTCCTTAGAGATCTGAGCTCAAGTGAGACATCTTCTTTCTTGGTGTGTCCCTTTCGCACAATTGCCATGTGAGATATTTGATACAATACGGTAGTTGACTATAAAAAAAAATTGGCATAAAAACAATACGTCATTTTGTCCATGAATATTATAAGATGTTTGTAAATAATACCATACCAACTATGAATGCAATAGGTCGCAAATAAATCAAAGTCTTTATATTATTTCACGATATTTAAATATTATTGGAAAGTTTTATTTGTTTTACATTAGGCAACACTAAAATAATATGGCGTCATCTCTTTGTTGTCATTGAGCCATTTTCTTTCAAATATGTCCAATGATATCCATGTAAGAATTGTTACACTAGTCAGAAAGAGACGGACCAAGATTTATGACATCTCGCTCGGCGCACGCTTCAATACACAGTAAGCCTTCCAGTTGTACGAAGTACTTATTAATTCCATGAAACGGTCACTTCCACAGATTACTATATGTCACTTCGCTATAGCGAAGTTAGGCACGAGTAGTATCGCGAAGTTAGATACGACAGGCGACGCGAAGTTACTTTTTTTGTCTTATTTCCTGGCACTCTGGAATCCAGCTTTGGCCACATGCAATTTCGATTGAGTTGCCAATTTTTAATAATTCTTCCAATACTTTCTTCCTTCTTGAGACTTCAGGATATCATTGTTGTTGTGGAACTTTGATGTGGGGTTTTGGATATTAATAGGAATTTAAAAACGGGGAAAGGAAATCGCGGCATAATAATAAAAGCAAACGGAATTTTGGTACGGTGATTAACAAGATAGTGTAGGTAGTATATTATAGGTAAATTTAAGCAATGAAGGATGGAAATTATGAAATGGAAATGAGATGGTAATAGCTGAAAATAATGTTAAATGGATAAATAATAATCTAAATTTTAATAACATTGTTCCTTATGAACTGAGCCAATGCATTATAAACAGTTATTCCCAGTGTTGACACTGTAACCAGTTTTTAGCTATATAGATTTATTCAGATTTACGAAATTATTAGGTACAAAACAAAATATTTGATAGTTACATCTTTTAGCTCTTTAAGTAAGAAAAGTAAAAAGTTGGAAAAAAAAAACGAAAATAAAGCTTAACCTTCAATATCACAAGATGATAATGATTTGATTGATATTGATGATAATTATTTTTTCGATTTATAATTTGTAAAATTAAGAAAAATATGTACATATTTAAAAACGCAATCCCATAATTATATTTTCGTTCAGCCACTTTAGGGAATTTTACCCAGAATCAATTTCTTGGAATCTAGCAACTTTTTTACTTAAAGTTTAACTACTTCCTCCTTGGGCAACGTGGCAACACTACTTATTCAAAACGTTGACAACCAATGTGAGCTACTACAATTTCTTGAAAACAAGTCTCTATACACTATATATACAGATGGTTCAAAGACTGAAGATACTGCAACTTCGGCATTTTATGACCCACAGGTTAAATTATGTAAATGCTTCAAGATTACCAACTATTGTAGTATTTTTCACAGCGGAGTGTTGTGCTATTTTCCAAGCATTACTTTATATAAATATTCTCGAAGTTGTTAATATAATTATCTTTACTGATTCTCAAAGTGTATTGGCTGCACTCATTAACAAACAATATAAATATAATTTGTGTTATATAGTATATAATATGAAACAATTGCTACATGACATGTATAGTAGAGGTAAAAATATAACATATAAGGCTGGTACCTTCACATTCTGGTATTACTGGGAATGAACAAGCTGATGGAGCTGCACGAAGAACAGCAGATGAAGAACATTCCTCTTGGTTGAAAGTACCTTACACTGACTTCCACGCCCAGTTCATGTTGTCACTGAAGTTCTTATGGATGGAATATTGGAGGAAAGCGACTGAAATAAAAGCTAAGTGGTCCACCAGCCTACAAATGAGCCCGCCCGCTGAACCTTGGTGGAATAAAACGAATCTAGATTCACGGAAGCAGATAACTGCCATCAATAGAATGAGATTTGGCCACTGCAGAATTCCTGCTCACCTAAAGAGATTGGGAACCTTCAAAATGATAAATGTACCGAACCTTGTACCGAAGAAACAATCGACTTACAACATATCATTTTCACCTGTGTTCAATACCGTTTTCATCGTCTAATACTTGTGGCAGAAATAAAGGACCTTTGTGTAGATGACAGTGATATTCCAAAAAACGTTCAATCGTTACTCTCAAGAAAAAACTTATTTAAACCAATATGTAACTTTATATCTAACACTGTGAACGAAATTTAAAGTGTTTTCGTTTTACTTTCTAAGTGTTATATTTTCGTTATGAAAGTGATTATTTTGACGATTGGCTTAACAGGCAAAATACCCAGAGCCGTGAAAACCAATAAAAAAGTCCCTTTTTTTATTAATGGTTTTGACTTAGATACGAGTCCTTTGAGTCTTGTCTTCGTTTAATTATCGGATACTCAGTAATATTCCATTGTAGTTCTAATAGAATGTTTTCTATTTCTCTTAAATAACTTAGTTCACTTATTCGGTTTTTTTACATAGTCTTTTAAGCGGCGGTAGTCAATATTTATGTTTTCATTTTCACATAGATCATATCACTTTGAACAAAAACTTTGAGTTCGTAATTAGTGAAATTTTCAGGATAAAGTCTTTTGTAATTAGGTTTCAATTATGGAATATAGTTCTAACTTTCTTCATCGCTATTTCTTTTTTCGTTTTTTTCTTCATAATATACTTAAAATAAAATTAATAATCTTTGTAAACACTGTAGTCGAGTTGCGGACACCAGCCCGTTACACCAAGTACCAAGTACCAAACACTGTAGTTGTAACTTCAAAAGCCTGCCATTTCCTTATTCGTCCCGCTTCAGATAAACCACAGAGTTTTGTTTTGTTTGTGTTTTTATATAAATAAGCTGCTAGCGATAATACGCAGGTACAAAATGGATTGGAGTAATGCGTGGGTCTTTTATTTTCTAGAACCATATGTATGAAACTGAAGAACTCATTTGAAACCCAAAACATCCAAACCACAAAATTAAACACAAAGTTAACGATGCATGGAACCGTATTAATATTATAAAATTACCAGTCAATGAGTTGAAAGCGAAGAAGTTAATGGCAAATTTTCGTGCGTATGTTCGTAAGAGAAAAACAATCTATAATTTCGGGTATGGGGGTGGAAGATGTATATGACCTATATGGTTCGTATATACCGAAATGAAAAATTTCTTGTGATCAGTGTATGGCTGCGAATGCACAATAGACACTGAAGATAATGTAAGTATTTTTATACCATTGTATATACGTAGGTGTCGCGTGCAATGAAATGTAAACGTTTGTTAATTTTCGAATATATGTAATATATATAATAATATTACATATATATAATATACATACTTTATGTATATTAGATATTCCAAAACCAAGTACCTACTTTGTGTTGTGTTCAAAAATATGTAGTAAGTAATCATGTCATGGACTTTTTTTAAAAGTTTACTTTTATTTCAGAAAAAGTAAACAACCAGTGATAAATTTGCACTCGGTGTTTTATAATACTAACTTACACCTTACTGGGTTATGTTAAGGTTTATTTTAAATAAAAGTAAAATACCGAGCTACGTGAGATAGCTCGAAGTAGTGGTATGTCCTTGTCTAACAAGTTGTCAAGGCTAAATAAAATCATCTTAGGTGTAGTAGTGTAGTGTCTAGAGTATTAACTTTTTTCATTTTGGTCATTGACCTACCAACTTTTGGTTAAATAAAATAAGCTTAAAGATAATATGCTTTTACTGTAATAATACAAAATTTATATCAACAATGAAACCTTTTATTATGAAGTAGCATATCAAATAAGTATACTAATTTGAATTACGAAATAATATTAGTAGTTTTGGTCTTCCATAAGCGGCCACATTTTCTGTAAAAATTAAAAACTTAAAAACAATATGCCTGGCTGAAACATGAATGAAGGAGACGCATTACTAAGTGCGCGGTCCAGTTTAATATACAAGGCCGTGATAATTACACCGTTTGTGTGTTGTCCGAGAATTTACAATAACCTTTTGTTGTATACATTATTATGAAAATGCATTGTATAAATATTTACGAAAATAACATGGATACATGCCATGAAATACCAAGAGTTTATATTTACCATTGATTGTAGTTTGTATACTTTTCTCTCAAAAAAAGCACACCTTTAAAAACAAACTCGTGTCCTTTGACTCGTGCTCGAAATACCGCTCACGACGCGATCGCACGAGTGGCGATGCGATGCACGACGGGAATAGCGAAGTGAGTTTACACATGCGTGTCGTGCATCGCATCGCCTATCGCACGAATGTGTGAACGCGTTTCAACCTCTCGACACGATTGTTTCGACGAAACATTCGTCGAAACAATCGACGATAGTGTAAACGCGGTGTAACACCCTACTTTGAAGCCTCTCACTCGGCTCGTTTTTTAAACTAGTCCGTGATCCAAGAAATCGCCGTGTGTAACCACTCTTATTAGTTTGTGGTCTTGCTCTTATTAAAGACAAGAAAAGGAGAAACAAAAAGAGACGCATTACTAATTGGAAGCCTCTCACTCGGATCGTTTTATAAACATAATGCGCGGTCCAGTTTAATAATATACAACTTACAAGTCCGTCATCCAAAGCGAATAAGGAATTTGAATTAGAAATCGCCGTGTGTAACCACTCTTATTAGTTTGTGATCTTGCTCTTATTAAAGACAAGAGAAAGAGAAACAAATTCTGTATTGCCATATTTTCCGTCCCGACAATCGCTAATAGTTTTTAAAAGGGAAAAAATATAACTGCAATAATTTTCTTAAATGTTGTATATATTTATCAATTTCTATGAATTTTATTTATAAACACATTTGTTAAGAATTATTAATTTTCTACAAACAGTTTTACAGATTCACAGTGTTGTTAGGTTAAATATTGGCAAGAACGCTCAAAAATCAATTTCTCCCCGGTCCAACCAAGGGCGGGTGAGATTGTTGACAGTTTGGTGTAGTGATAAAATTGGTGTTTCAAGATCATGTTTTTAGTTTGAAAACAGTTTTATCGGCTTTTTCCATTATGCAGAGATCAGGTAATATTACCTTTCTTACTTGCGACCTCATTTATTGTGCGTGTTATTAGACGCTTAGTTCGCGCCAACCGCCTATAATTTCATGTTGATTTGAAGCTGTTTCGTTAATATTTTTTGAACTACAGTGATTTCGTTGAGACGTCTCGACATCGGCAAATGTTAAAGATTTATAGTTTTGTGCCATTAAAACATGCTTTTATTAATAATAATAATAATAATACATTCGACATAGACGCCGAATTATAGATCTGTCGAGAATCACTTCTGCAGATTATTCATTGCATTCTTAGAGGATGGAAAATTACATTATAGAAGTAATGAAAGTTTATGCCATTAAAATTTAAAATTGGTAACCTAAGTTTTCAAATGAATTATTAATTGCTACTTGATTCAAATTGGTTTACCTAGAGTTTAAATTTGAAATATAAATAAAATGAAAGTACTCAACTGAGTAGAAGAAGTCTTGGCCATAGTGAGTGAGGCATCTATCTGTATATATCTCTCAGGTGGATGTACTTTTTTGCACTTGTATTTATTTATTATGTATTTTATTTTTTATAATACTAAGTTATGGGACAAACAAAGCGTGCACTTGGTGGTAAGCAGCACCCTTGTCCGTAAGAGTTGCAGTGCCACTTAGCACTTTAAGTCACAAAGATCTGAGGGACACTGCCACTGTGCCGTATTGTAAGACTTTACAACTTTATAACTTTATTACATTGTAATTCATTATAATGTGTTCATAAACTTGATAGCATTTATATTTTAATGTGGATGATTAAGCATTACAATACATTTCTCAATAACAAAGATAACCTAGTTTGACAATATACATCATTAATACCTGGGTCATTCCAGTGAAAATGACACTGCAGTTCAAAAAAATAAATTACACAATTTGGTTTTAATTGTATGACTAGAATACGCCCAATAAATCAAGTCAGTAGAAATCTATTTGCTGAAATTCTTATCTCAATTGCACAACTACTTATGAGTGAACACAGCTTGCGAAAATAACGTTAAATGTTTTAAAATTCTATATAATTTATTATATAGAATTTAAAAACTGCAACTTAAATTTTAAAAAAAGGTAAAAGTAATACAAACAAAACCAATAAATACAAGTTAACAAGGGTCTTGGACAGCATCAAACTAGATGGCGAAAAAAAAAAAAAATTAATTAAGGTTTAACATAATACTAATGCGAAATTTGTGACAAGTTTGTACAAACATGACTGTGTTTATTATATAGTCTGCAGAGCCTTGGGATACAGGAATTAAAGCCCAGAACAGTCTTACGGAATGGTGGCATTAAAGGAGCAATAGCAAACCTAGGGTATCTGGAGGGAATTTTGAAGTTAAATTTAGCTAACAGTTGTGGACAGTCTATGTACGTACACAAAACCTTATAAAGAAATATTAAGTCCATTAATTCCCCCCTCTGCAAGCAATGACATTTTAAAATGCACAAGTCTATCAGAATACGACTGCAACTTTCTGGCCAACCCCACTGAGTACCCTAAGTGCCAGAGAAATCCCTTTTGTATTAGCTCAAGCCTCAACATGTGATTTGCGTAATGAGGGTGCTAAACCAGGCTAGAATATTCCATTATACTGCGAACTAGGCTTTTATAAAGAAGTAGTTTTGTAGCAGGAGAGCGGAATACCTCTCCGTTCCTTATGACAATTTTTAAATCTTTTGAATATTGTACAATTGTTGTATTTTTAACCGACTTCAAAAAAGGATGAGGTTCTCAATTCGACTGTTTTTTTTTGTATGTATGTTACGTGATAACTCCGGTATTTATGAACCAATTATCATGATTCTTTTTTTGTTGGAAAGAGGGCACCTCCATAGTGGGCCCATTGAATTTTGAAGAAAATCATCCACCTCTAGGGGTGACTGTTCACGCATGAAGATCATTTTTATAAATAGCGCCTAAATTTTAGTATAAAGACATTGACTTACAATAAAGAGCAATTATTTTAATGGTTGATTTTGTTATTCTTTAATTATAGGCGTTTTTCTCTCAATATACTTTGAGTAGGGAGAACCGATTTTTATTATCTCCTGTGTCAATTCCCGTATAGTGGTGAACTACGGGATCAATCCGGGTTTGCGCACTTTCCGGTAACCGATTTCAATAAAACTTGGTAATTATATGTAATTACACCTACTTTTGCGGTCGGTTTTTTTAGTACTCTGTACTGAGATTATTTGTCTTCATTAATGCAGCCATAGTGCTGTCGTCTATAGTGAAGCATTTTTTCCTATAATGTTAGCAACAAGTTTCGCGGTTATTGGTGGTCTGTTGGTATCTTTCTAAAAAAGTTTTTACTGTCGAAGAAAATACATTTTACAAATGTTAAAATAGTGATAAGTGATTGCATGGAAGTATATATGGTGAGGAGTTATTAAAGTTTCAATAAATACTAATTTCAAGTCCCAGCCGTCACAATGAAATATATATATTTTTATTTTAACCAATAAATATGCAACCTATTGGCACTCGCTTTTGTAAAAGTAACATAATTGTTACTTTTGTTAAGGGTCATTATTTTGGCTTGGTTGGGCATTGTGCACATAAATTTAAATATTAAGATTTGAAAATGTGTCCCACCTGTCACAGTGATGGGTGGGACACACTTCTAAACGTTTTTATTATGAATATATGTTTGTATTTTCATGGATTCGAGTTTTCACAATGTTTACTAGGTGTAACAGGTGCTTTAATTTTGGAGTTTAACATTTGATGTGTTAAATTGTGACGATTGGGACATCATTTTGTGACAGGTGGGACAAGGTACATTTGATTACATAGAATTTTAAAAAATACACTGTATTTGTAAATCCATTATTTGTAAGGAAATATTTTATAATTCTTCTCATAATTAAGATATTTTAACACATAGAAAAAGACAATTAAAAAGTGACAATAACATTTTTCCTGATTATTTTTAGTATCGGGAAATTCATGACATGTCTGTCTCTACTAGTTTTAACTATATATTCGAGCAAAACTTCTAAATTTGATATGATACAAAATCTTCAAGGGTGCGGCAGTATTTCTCAAATTTATTAACGCATTTTACATGCGTGACTTTGATTTCATGTCGTCATAGATAGTGTTTCAAGAAAAATAAAAATAGGATTACTTTAGCAGTTCTTTAATTCTGTTTTTTTATGTTAAAATGTCTTAATAAGACAAAAATTATAAAATATTTCCTAACTAACGATGGATCCCATATTAAACAGTGTAATTTTATTAATTTTTTTTATTCAACTGTAACTTGTCTCACCCGTCACAACTTAACATATTATTTCCTTAAAATTTATCGAAGTTATTAATTAAGTGTATATATAAAACAGAACTGTAACATTCAAGTTATCTCATTGGAAAAACTTGCTGAACAAAATATTAATAGTTTGTCTTGATCTTGGCAATGAAGCCATCAACTCAAACAGGCGGGTGTCGTGAGTGTCCCACCCGTCACAGTTAGAAAATTAAGTTTTGAGTATAAATAATGACATAAATTTATTTAAATAAATAGTCACAGTTGAATTGCAAATCTGGCTTCATGATATTTTCATTTTAAGTCTAATTAAGCAATGGTTAGGGAGAAATTACTTAAAGTTCAAGAAAAAAGGAGTCAAAATGTCCTACCCGTCACTTTGGAATGGCCCACCTACAAATTAAACAAGTACATAATTATATGCTTTTACATTCAATGATGCAGCTGCCTGAAATGATAATAGGTAGTTTTTCTTCTGCATGACTTTTATAATTTGTGGTTGTCTGTGTGTGTCCATGGAACCCGCGACACAGGGTTTGCGGGCACTAGGGAAACCACAAATTACACCTAACCTCACGAGGGAAATAAATGTAGGGCACACAAATATTTCTCCTGACCCGGGAATCGAACCTGGGACCTCTGCGTGGCAGTCCGGCATGGCAACCGTTCGGCCACGGAGGCCGAACATAGTTGAGTGTGTGCATTATTATTATTATAATTATTATATTCTTCATAATGTGTATTTTTGTTGTAATGATGAATAAACTTTAAACTAAAAATAAAAAATGACTGACTGATAAGATAATGGACCAACACACGTAGAGCTGAAGATTTTTAAACAGTTGGGCTCTCAATTAAACTTTTAAATAAACAAAACACCATTTTGAGAGTGGATCATTCCTTTGGTAGCTATTGTGGCTACAGCCAGACGTATGTCTGATAAAGGCTTCAAATTTATAACTTCCTTCGTTTTGCGTCATAGTCAAATCTTTATGTCTTGGCATATTTGAGTATAATTTGAATTTTATTTTCTTGTCATGATCTCTGTTTTTCTATCAAAAGTTATAATTATATTTTCTTTAACCCAAAAATATTGTCTGCTTTGATATGAATGAAATATGTGAATATAAGAATGGCCCAATGGCTAAAGTATCAAACTTGATTTGCACCAAATCTTTCCAAAAAAGGTACATAATTCAAAAACGTGTAAGACATAAATTTAATTTCAATAATTTATCATGAGGTAGGTACTTAAGTATTTTATTCAATCAATGTACTATCTATATCTGTAAGTACCTCAGTTCCATGTTTTATGATTATTTTATCAGTGTTTAGATTGCTAATGAGTACAAATTTATAATTTATCTAATAAACAATTATTTTAGATAAAATGATAAATAAGTCAATTTATTTTTTTACCGACACTAGGCTGTCACTAAATGTTTAAATAAAATTTAATGAAACTATTATTTCGAATCTATATTTGTTTTTTGAATCAAACCAACGTTTCGGGCCCTTTACAGGTCTCGTGGACCTGTAAAAATACACACATCAAAAGTGTCTAGGGATCAAGTACGTTTAAGAGTATTGCTACAATTAGGGTTAATTATATTAACTTTTTTGTATCGCTATTGATACTTTTTAGTGAGTTTTAACATTTAAATAAGGAATATTGTTTAAAATTCGATAATAAGAATAAAATCGATTGTCAATGTGGTTTTGTATAAAAATGAGTTATAGCGTTTTGACAAAATCATTACAATATCCGCATGGGAACCGAAACAATTTACATTATTATGGAGAGACGACATCATTTAACCCGAGAAGTGATGATGCGAGCCGTCGGAATGTTGGAAGCTGGTTCCAGGCAACGTGCTGTGGCTTTCACTCTTAACACTACACAGAGCGTCATAAGTCGCCTCTGGACGCGCTATCGCATGACGGGCAGCGTGGCCGAGCGACATGGAGGACAATCTCGCATCACGACTCGCAGACAGGACCGGTATATCCAAAATACTGCTCGACGGAATCGTACCATGACCGCCATGATGTTGGTTACGAGGCTCCACAGCTCCTTAGGCTTGCTAATAAGCGATCAAACAATCCGAAATCGTTTACGTGAAGTGGGTCTGCGATCCTGAAGGCCGCTCAGAGTTCCACCTATTGCACCCTGCAATCGCAGGACCCGTTTACGATGGGCTCGCGAACACAGAAACTGGGAGGAAGAAGACTGGCGCTATGTGTGCTTTTCGGATGAATCCCGCTTCGGTATGAGACCGGATACAAGACGTACTCGAGTTTGGAGAACATCTGGACGTCATGAACGTTTG